AGTCGCGGAAAACGACTTAAATCTCCGATCCCCATTTCCTTTAATTATTAGAAAGCGTCATCAACGACTGATCATCGTTGATTAACAACTTTCGTAAAATAGTTTTTGGATAACAATTGGATCACATTTCCGTGCAGATGAATATTATGAAAGTAAAACACCGCTGAATGCAATTAAATTCTCCCTTCTCTTGAGCAAAAAATTGATAATTTTAGCTGCTCTATACTGCTTTAATTGTGAATGTTTTCACTGGAAATGAGCATGCACATCTATTACGCTGGGACACGCTTTTATTTAATTTTGCTATTCAAAGATGAATAGGTATTTTTATACATTTAAAAGGGCTCTTATTGATGGTGCAGTACTTCAGTACAGATATACATGGCATTGTACAATAAATATCATGTTGCATCAACTTTATCATCAAGGGACGACTTTGCTAGAACATCATTCTCATAAAACTCCTGATTCAATTCTCTTCCTCCTAGAGAGGATGGTTTCCTGTTTGGCAGCAACAAAACTTTCTGAAAATATTTTTTTCGCAATGAAGACATTCAACCTTTGGATAAGTGTTCCTTCAACACAATTTGTGCTGCATGTGATGATCACTCCATAATCTGATAATGAACTCGTCTTAATTCATTTCGAATGACATATCAGAACTCAGAAGGCATGGACTTCAACTGAATATTCAGAATAAAACCCGCATCAGCATCAAGGAGAAACCCGCGAAATATACATGGGTCCCACACACAGCAACTATATCAGGGTCAGGTGCTGTTCGTGCTGGGATAACCCGGTTTTTGTGACATGGTTCAGTCAAGTCTCGACTATTCGGTGAAGTGTATGAGATTTTGTTGTGAACAGCAATCATGCCATTCTTTACAAAGTCGTCAACTTCGTCCATGTCGCCTCAACATCCGGCGCCGTCATCAGCAGCATCAGTCGCCCCGCAGCCGCCATCAATGCTCAAAGAAATGGCCGCCACAGCTGGTGGAGTAGCTGTTGGATCTGCTGTGGTAATTTTTCGAAGCTTATATGGTATTTTTTTAACAGACATTTTCAAGTGCTGGGGCCCCGAGATGCGAATGGAATTACTGTACACTTGTACAGGACCTTATTGTGCCTACATGTATGCAAATTTGATCACTGATTCTCATTTAGATTTCAATAATGGGAACGTTTTATTCACTTGTAAATGTTTGTTCCAAAGTCTGCTAAAAATTCTCCAAAATTGAAAAAAAATCCTCAACTTTGAGATGCAGACAATAACTGCAGAATAAAACTGTCTATATAGAATCTGCCCGTTCGGCGTGAAAATTAGTGCAAAAATCAACATAGAAAGCGCAGTTTTCTACAAGCAGGACACAGTCTATGGAAAAAAAACCTGAATATAGAAGCAAAAAATTAGCTTGTTTTGGATTATGAACTAGAGTACTGTACATTTATCTTATGATTATATTACCCATTTTTCCCACTAGAAATAGCTGAATTTGTTCAAGAAACATACAAATTGTTAAAATAACAATGTTAAATTTTTCTAGAAATTTTGGCGAACTGTGCATATCTTGAGACATTGTCTAGATGTTTGGGCTTTTTTGTTGTTGTAATAAGTGTCTCTGACAAATGTGAATCATCTGTTTGTCAGGGCAATGCTCTGTAAAGTCTGTATTCATATGTACAGTATTCAGCTTGATGTTCACTCTGCACTTTTGATAAAAAGCTGGCGGTGGGCTTTAAACAAAGCCAGACGTTTGAAGAAATATTAGACCAGTCTGTCCTCACAACTTCTTTATTAAAAGACCAAATTCCAAGGATTTCAAAATGGGGGAACCTTCAAATAATGTCATAGCTTAAAATGTTCTGATTCTTGGGAACAAAGATCATCCCTTTTATATTTGAGCCCTGTGCGCTGAAATCACTGGGAAAAAACAAAAGCCTCGCGATAAAATAAAATAAATCAGACAAAAAACAGGTCCCCACTGCCGCCAGGTTGGCATTCAAGGGTTAGCAAACCATGCGCTAAAATAAGCTCATTTCCTGTTCTCTGTCTTGTTCAAAAATAAAAGAAATACATGGCAAATGGCAAACCAAAGCTTGAACACCCTGAAAAAAAATTCGAGAATTTTCTAGGACCATCTAGGCTCAAACTTTATTTTCTGCGCAAAAAACTGCTACAAAAAACAACAGGTTACAGCAGCAGGAAACCCACTATTATCTAGTCTTAGTTTGCTAAAATTGCCAAGAGAATCGGTTCAATGATTTCCACCACACATACACGTACAGTATTTTGTTTGGTCAAATATGTCCATCATTGCTGGTTCCAATTATGATGTTGGCTATTAACATTTATGCGCATACTCAAAATTACTTTAGAAATGTTGCATATGCTTCAAATCTTGAAGTTCTGTGAGAGACTTTTGTGCAGATGTTCCACATTTTTGGTTTTCAGTTGAACCTTTTTAAGTCACATTCAGAGGGATCCATTACACATTGACCCAGAGAGAGTCTTGTGAGTTAAGGAAACCAGAATATCAGTAGAAAAAAAAAACAATTGGGAGAATGAAAGATTGGCACAGGTTGATTCTTCCAACAATTATATTGTCTACAACAATCTTCTCTGCACACAATTTTTCTGGCCCCAAAGGTTTCTCTTCCCATGTTATGGGCATATGGGTTCTATATGGCGTATATGCAACACACTTTTTCTGCTGGTCTCCTCTTGAATTTTGTTGTAGACGGACTACTTTTGTAATAGTTTTGACCGTTGAACTACTTGATGGTTAAATGAATAGAAAGGGTACTAAGCCTGGAAGCAAGGGTATACATTTGCCAAATTAGTTACTCGCTATCTTTTGAAGATAATCTGGTTGCATATACTTATACCCAACCCCTCTTCTCTTTCCTGAGGCTGGTTCCCAGAATTATAATCTCAAGGCTTACGGAAATTTGAGTTATGTTCTGTATATAAAAGCTTGAGTGGGAAGTCATTGGATTGGACATGAAAGAATTCTTCAAGGAATTCCCACAGGGTCTAGATAAAATTAGCATAGGTAGATTTTAACTTTGGGGCGTTCAACTTAGCAAGGTCCCATTGTAAAGGGCTTTTAAATTACTGTATTGCAGTATTTTCTCAAGTACCTGTACATTATCATGTACCCTTGAGTATAGGGCATGCACCCAAAATTTTCAGACTTTTTTTAAAAAGAAAAATATATTCCTAAGTAAGACATGCACCTCATTTAAAGAACTGAAAATTGAAATATTTTGAAAATAAAATGCACCAGACTATAAATTTCAACTTGAATTATTGTCAAGTTGAATGCTAATCTTTATGCATTTCAGTTTTTGAATTTGTTTGTAGAAATTGGTTGAAATTCCCTGTGGGAATCAAGTACAGTATATTGAGGTGCACCATAGTTTTGAAGAATTTATCAAAATTTCGAAGAATCTACATAATTTCATACCTGCCTATGTTATGCTCCCTGTTTTTTCTTCTTGTTTAAAAAAGGGGGGGTGTGTGTGTGTGCTCTATTGGCATAAATACTGTAAATGTACTCATAAATAGATAATAATGTATGGTTTGTCCCCTAATAAGTTTTGGTATAATTATGCGCGCACATCTTGTCTGGAGTGCAAGAAAGACTCATCCGCTAATTATTGCAGGGGCATGTGGTGGGTCATGCACTCACTGGAGCATTCAGTGGGCCATCAGCAGGAGCGACCCCTGCTGCAACACATCAACCTCCCATCGCAGCTGCCAGGGAACTGTATCCTGTCAAAGATGGACCTTGTGCCCAAGAAATCAAGAAGTTACTGGGTTGTGCAGTCATGACCACAGGCTTGGGTGCCTGCCAGGACCTTCAGGATGCATTTCGCTCCTGCATGCATGGGTTTCAGCAGCAGCCATTCACAAGCGGTGAATTTCTACATTTTTTTCATGAGAATTCCAATAATTTCCGCCCTTCACCAGCAGTATATGGTTCCAAATGGAGAGATACATGGGAGTGATGATGAATGTTAAATGAGAGTTCTACATCAAGTATCTGTAGAACAACAGGATGAGAAGTGACAACATATATAAATAAAAGAGTTTTTAGTTTTTTGGAATGAATAGTCTGCTTCGTGTAGTCAGGTGATCAATGAAAATACTAGATTTATAAACATGCCTAATTCTTTATGAAGGTTCCTGTAATCCCTCGCAGAAAATATCGAGATAAAAATATTCATCTGTTCTGCTTGGTCAGGTGTTCTAAAATATATGTTGCCCACGATTAATAAATAGCCTTAATAGGTCATAGAAAATTGACCATTCAAAATAATGGAGGTTTGAGACCATTAGTTTTTGAGTTATAGAGGTTTAAAATTCATGTACAGTAACACTGGTCTTGAGGGGATTATAGCTGAAGATTCGTTAGGAATTCAACTTGGAAAGGTTTTGAGTCGAAATTAAAAAGGTTTAGTTAACTGTATTAGTGAGAATGGCGTACGTGAACAATCGGACTCGTCCATACATTTAACTCCGCATATCGTGAAAAGCTGAGGAATTTATAATTAAATTTAAAGTTCGATTCAAATACTGCACATACGTGTTCATCATTATTAATACAGTACTGTATGCAGTATATGGCCTTTGGGAGGAATCTACACAAAAATTATTCCTCTCATGAGTTTTGATTATTGAATCCATGTTGCTCAGAATCCTTAGATCATGTTTGAACTTTATGCCTTGTATAGTGGTATTACACCAATGTTCATCATTTCCACACAGTATACAGTACTGTACAGTATTATAATAAATATAGGCTGGAATATATTTGACCAAAAACGTACATTTGCAGTCTCCTCATTATTTGTCCCATTCAATGGTGATGCTTGTTTACGAGTATATGGGATATTGCATTTTATACATTAGTACCTATCCCTATAAATTTCGTAATTATTGTTTCAAAAAGGAGAAAAAATGCCAAGCTATATACTTAATTATTGCAATGACTGAACACTAAGCTTTCAGTGAGAATAAAGATGTCTTTAAATTGAGCGTCTCACTATTCAAGTTTAAAGTCTGATTTTTAAGTTCAGTTTTTGAGCAAAAGTCTGTCTTAAAATTGGAGTGGAATTTATTCTAAAAATAAATCCGTTGTTATATGCTGTACAATCATATTTACACATTCCAAATTCGCCCAAGTAGGTGAAAAGTTGGTCAGCTTCTGTTGATCCTTCTTTTAGACATTGGTTTATTTGTCGCAGGTTCTGATGCTGATCAAGTTGCATGAAGATGGATGGAGCTGGAAACAGAAGATGGAGTCCCGGAACATGGTTTCTAGCTGCTCCAGCGGAAAGTGCTCCTGGAAATTCTGTAAGAACTGTACATCACCTGGGTGGCACCACGTGAATTTCTTTTTCTTATATAGAGTGACGTTCAATCGTTGATGGAGATACGCATCGCCCATCGTAGTTTTTCAAGCGTATCGGGTATATATATACAACAGTTTTCAACTTTTTTCTTCGATTTTTTATTCCAACTTTTAAGTGAGGTTATATACGTACATGCAGAGGTTGAAGTCGAAAAACAAAGCGCAGATATTTAAATCGTTCATCGGTTGTTATAAGATAAGCGTACAGTACCTCTCCTCAGGATATCTTTTAATTTAGCTTCTTGATCTCTCCCATCACCGGTTGAGGGATCAATTTTTTTCAATCCCAAATATATTCTATATACTGAATTTATACAAACCTATGCATAATATACAGTCTCCCAAAGCTTGGAATACCACAATGTGGAAAAAGTGAATTATGCTTTAAAAATCTCCACCAATATCTGCTTGACTTACATGTCTCACATTAGGGACGTGTAACAGAAAAATCAAGGAATAATACATTTCAAATTTTTTTTACATAATTTTAAAATTGAGCCATGGGCACAAATTCAAAATAAATCTTATTGTGAATTTACTCTAGTTTACTTTCAAAAGCATATTTTTAGAGCTTTTCCATCAGCTGTGTACATGATGGTCAGCATTGGCCTGAGAGGTGCCTTTGTGCAGCTTATATCACTATTTTGGCTCATTTCATTAAAAATGAAAAATTTGGAGGGAAAAATTCAACTTTCCTGAATAATCCTATAATTGACAATGAAACCATGTACAGTCAAACCCCATTAAACCTCCAACATCAGTGCAGCAAGATTTTGGGGGTTTAACAAGGGTGGCAGTCTATCAAGAGTGGAGGTTCATTGGGGCTGGAATATGTCATTGGCACACAACACATAGGATCACAGAAAATGAGAAGAAAACTTTTTTTTCACATTAACTGAGATTAATTTTTTCTTGTCCCTGGATGGTTGAAGAGATAAGAATTCATATGTATTCCATGAGAAGATTTTTAACTCAAAGAAAATTATTTGTAAAATGAAAAAGAAAAAGAGAGGGGCTGCTTCAAATTCTGTGCTTCCCATCCTGTACACTTCTGAAGATGACAATTAAAATGTTTGCAATTTCCAGCAGTCTGCCTACCAGCAGATGATCATCAAACAATAATGATGGTTTAAAATGGCTAGCCAATTGGTATGCTGATGAAGATCTAAAATAGAAAATTATTCATTCAATATTTGTCCAAAGGAATGGGTTATTTATTTTTATAAACAAAAAATATTTCAAAAAATTACCCAAGCACATCCATAAAGTCCTATGTTTGCAGCATGTTACCAACTTCAGGGTGATAAACTTTAAACATAAGCAGGGTTTGATTTCAGTAAAAGAATATCAATAGGAATTTTCAAAATACTGTATTACAAAGAATCCATGAATTTGTCAAACAAGCCACAAATGTCTGAAATCATTCAATAATACATCCCTTGCCTAACTTTCAGGAGTATTCTAAATTCTGAAGGAATCTCTTGCTGGAAGCATGAAGATAATTATGTTTCCAGCCAATCTGAATACTGTACAATTTGATCTTTAAAGAAGCTGCACATCATTTGGTGGGTCAAAAGAGTTGCTGGAGAGTGCTTGCAGACATAATATTCAAGGATTTATGGAGAAAAGAATTAACATCTGAAGAGTATGTTTGGAAGAAGGAAAAATGTTGCTTGTTTCAAGAAAAAGTACAGATTGAAAGAAGTTGAAGAAAAAGTAGGAGGAAAGCCTTGGTCAGGAAATTAAAACATTGGCGGTTTGAAGGAGTAAAAAAACACAAGGGCTGATGCCTATTCGTGGCCAGAAAATTGTTGGCAGATGAGGGTGGCGGCCTATCCCAGCAAATAATTTACCCGTATTTCCACCCGTCAAAGACCCGTCATACGCGGGTAGCAGCCACCCGTTTTGGGAAACGGGTACTGGGTCGAAAAAAAACGGGTGATCACCCGCTGAACCACCCGTTTCGGCATACGGGTGGTTCTGCTGATCACCCGTTTTCTCCAAACGCCTGCTTAGTTATGGCCAAGGGAGATTCAGCCGTCATAGACGGGTGAATCACCCGTTTTTCGAAAAACGGGTGAAAAATAAAGAGCGCACCGATGCACAAAGCATCGGTGCGCCTTTTATTTTCACCCGTTTTTACCAGCGCGTCTTACCGGTTTTGTGTGGCGTGCCCTGAAAAGAAGTAGCGCTCCCTGCAAATGCAAGCAGCGTGTTTGTTCTTAAAAGTAGCGCACACTGTAAAATAAACCAGCGTGCGCATTCTGAAATGTAGCGCACAGTGCAAAAGGAAGTAGCGTGCGCATTCTGAAATGTAGCGCACACTGCAAAATAAAGCAGCGTGCGCATTCTTAAAAGTAGCGCACACTGTAAAGTAAACCAGCGTGCGCATTCTGAAATGTAGCGCACACTGCAAAAGAATGCAGCGTGTGCATTCTGAAATGTAGCGCACACTGCAAAAGAAAGCAGCGTGTTTGTTCTTAAAAGTAGCGCACACAGTAAAATAAACCAGCGTGTGCATTCTGAAATGTAGCGCACACTGCAAAAGAAAGTAGCGTGCGCATTCTTAAAAGTAGCGCACACTGTAAAATAAACCAGCGTGCGCATTCTGAAATGTAGCGCACACTGCAAAAGAATGCAGCGTGTGCATTCTGAAATGTAGCGCACACTGCAAAAGAAAGCAGCGTGCGCATTCTTAAAAGTAGCGCACACTGTAAAAGAAAGCAGCGTGCGCATTCTGAAATGTAGCGCACACTGCAAAAGAATGCAGCGTGTGCATTCTGAAATGTAGCGCACACTGTAAATAAACCAGCGTGCTCATTCTGAACTGGAGCGTACACTGCAAAATAAAGCAGTGTGCGCGTGCAGAAAAGGTGCACATACTTGTAAAAAATGCAGCGTACGTTTTTCATTCATTGTCACTTCCCAAAAAGGTGATTAGTTCAGTCGGTTAGGAGGTTGGCTAGTGTTTCTGATCTCCTGGGTTCGAATCCCTTCCCATGGATTCTGGTTCATTCGGGGTTTCGCAACCCTGGTCGTACTGATGGCATCCGTTGTCCACCATGAAGCAACGAAATCACCTACAGACCGTTGTCTCATGGTCGATCATGGATGCCACCATCCACTGCCGACCATGTGGCATCAATCTGCCGATGATTCCGTTGTCTCATGGTAGACAATGGATGCCATCAGTACAACCAGGGTTGCGAAACCCCGAATGAACCGGAATCCATGGGAAGGGATTCGAACCCAGGAGATCAGAAACACTAGTCAACCTCCTAACCGACTGAGCTAACCACCTTTGGCAGTGAAAGAATAAACCGAAGCATGAACATAAGTTGAACCCAGGGAACAGGAAGTAGGGCCCTGATTTCTCCAGAACTTGGGAGTAAAAAGTTAGGCGGCCCAACTGTGGTTACTACTTTTCTGAGAAACGCGCTCAGAAGGGATAGAATGCTACTGGAATATGAAGTATAGGAAGAAGCCACCGAAATGGAGGACGACCTCCAGGGAGGGGTGCAGACGAGGGGACGCGCGACAATTGCTGTAAACAAAGTCATTTACAGGCGCCACCATATGGAGGAACCCCCCTGAATAGCTGGTGAAGGGCAATCATTTTTGAAATAGCGCGCGTGCCTCTTATTGTAGCGCAGTCATGAGAATGTTTATAACATATAGCGCGCCCTTTTGATTTTACTGTAGCGCGCCCCTTTTCAACATAGAGTGGGCTCATACGCATTTTAAAGCGTTTAAAATGCTTAGCGCGCAGTATGTTGTGCGCTATAGTGGAATATGCAGGAAATAATTTCGCGCGTCCTTAAATGTAGGGCACACTGCAAAAAAAGCAGCGTGTGCGTTTATAAAAGTTGCGCTTATATACTCTCCAAAAATGCAGCTTGCGCTTTTCATTTATTGTCACTTCCCAAAAAGGTGATGAGTTCAGTCAGTTAGGAGGTTGGCTAGTGTTTCTGATCTCCTGGGTTCGAATCCCTTCCCAGGTATTCTGGTTCATTTGGGTTTTCGCAGCCCTGGTTGTACTGATGGCATCCATTGTCCACCATGAAACAACGGAATCATCTACAGACCACTGCCTCATGGTTGATCACGGATGCCACCATCCACTACCAACCATGAGGCATCAATCTGCGGGTGATTTCGTTGCCTCATGGTGGACAATGGGTGCCATCAGTACAACCAGGGTTGGGAAACCCCGAATGAACCAGAATACATGGGAAGGGATTCGAACCCAGGAGATGAGAAACACTAGTCAACCTCCTAACCGACTGAGCTAACCGCCTTTGTCAGTGAAAGAATAAAGCGAAGCATGAACATAAGTTGAACCCAGGGAACAGGAAGTATGGGCCCTGATTTCTCCAGAACTTGGGAGTAAAAAGTTAGGTGGCCCAACTTTGGTTACTACATTTGTGAGAAACGCGATCAGAAGGGATAGAATGCTACCGGAATACATGAAGTAGGAAGAAGCCACCGAAATGGAGGACAACCTCCAGGGAGGGGTGCAGACGAGGGGACGCGCGACAATTGCTGTAAACAAAGTCATTTACAGGCGCCACCATATGGAGGAACCCCCCTGAATAGCTGGTGAAGGGCAATCATTTTTGAAATACCGTACCGGAATACATGAAGTAGGAAGAAGCCACCGAAATGGAGGACAACCTCCAGGGAGGGGTGCAGACGAGGGGACGCGCGACAATTGCTGTAAACAAAGTCATTTACAGGCGCCACCATATGGAGGAAGCCCCCTGAACAGTTCTGAATAGCGCAATCATTTTTGAAATACAGCGCGTGTCTCTTATTGTAGCGCAGTCAAGACAATGTTTTGAGCAATTTTGATTTTACAATAATTGTTCATTATTTAACGAATTAGCGCGAAATTCCTAAAAAGTAATATTTTGGTGAAACTGTAATTATGTACTTTGTTGTTTTGATTTGGGTATGCGAGTACTTTATGCGACAATTGCAAACAAAGTTTATGACAGGCGCCACCATATCCCGAGTACCTAAACAGCTGATCAAAAGCGCACTCATCTGTTACATAGAGCGCATTCATAATATTCTGTTTGTAGCGCGCCCCTTTTTCCTGATTTTGAACAAGGAGTGGGCTATGCAATTTAAAGCGCGTCTAAAGTGCATGCTGGCGCGCTGTATGCGCGCCAGCATGCGCATACCTGCGAAAATTATACTAATTATTGTTTTTGTCAAATACAGTGGTTAATGCTTTCGGTGTGGTGTATGCTTGTAATTGTATGTATATATTAATTTAAAATCCACATTCAAATTCAAAACCTATTCTTATTCATACAAAACATTCATACAAAATTCATAAGAAATTCATAAAAAAATTCCCAAAAAAAACACAGCAAAAAAAGCACTTCAGACAAAACCCATAAAAAAAAAATCAATGTAGACGAATTAACATGCCATATCACATGAAAGCCTAGCACAACTCATCATCAGCTTCATCAAAATCATTAAAGGCTTTAAGGTCATAATCAACATGGTCTGGCCTACCATACCACTCACTCAAGATGCTTTCTCTTTCATCCTCGGTGTTTCCTACGTAAACAGCCTTGGGTGTAACAGATGGGTATGACACCTTTGTATTTGGTGGTATCTCTCCAAGCTTCCTTCGTCGATTGTCCCGATTAATTCTCTCGACAGATCGAATTGACCGGAGGGTATGATTAATTTTTTCCCTGAAACAATTGAAAAAAGTACATGTTTACTTTTTGTTACCGGACCATGCATGTATGTATGAATATATGTATACATATACAATGAAAATAACAATTTTTAACGCATTAATCTGAAGTAATTAATGTAAAGATAGTTAAGTTATCAGTTTTCACTTGCACTATTACTGTAATTGAGTAATAATTACCGTAGTCCAATGTCCTTCAATTTTCCATCAGGGTTTGTCTCCTTTCGAGTTGGGAACTTATTCCAAACTTCCTCCATGAGAGCCATGAATCCCACTAGTTTGTTGAGTGGCTGTAAAGAAAATGTTAAAAGTACGTATAAGGAAAATGACAAAATATTCAAAGCTTTGCAAAAATACACCATATAGTAGATATTGTATATAAGAGTATGATACGATTTTATCGTAAAAGTGTACGAAAGCAGCGCGCTGTTAAAATTAACAGCGCGCTTAAGTGTACGAAAGCAGCGCGCTGTTAAAATTGACAGCTTATAATTTAGGTGCGCGCTGTTTAAAGAAAAAAAACACGCCCCTCATTCAACGTATTCATAACGTATTCAATATTATTCATTTTGAGTAACGTTTTCCTCAAAGATAAATATTACTGCATATACATGTTATGAAGTATTCAATATCCAAAATCTTTTTCTGCTTCATTTGAAATGTAGTACATTTATATACATGTATGCAAGAATTGATGCATGAAATGTCTTACAATGCGGAGATTTTCATTAATTAGACGCTTTTCCAGATGGAGGGGTTCGTAGTCATAGTCCTGCCTTTTTGCATCATCTTGTATTGGGGTCCACAACTGCTGATCTCTTTCTTCAATTGTTCTGATAATGGTTGGTTCTCTACTTTTTCTGGCATTCCCTGTAAGAAACAAATTCAGAAGTAACATAAAGAATTGCATATTAACATAGTATTCATTGAAGCTTTAACTGATGAAGTAAGCATCATAACAAACCTTGAAGAGTATGACGATTGCAGCAGTAAATTTGCAAACTCATCCTTGGGTAAAACAGGGTTTTGAGTACAACGCGCATTCCCGATCCGCTTTGAAAAAGTTCCTTTTTCACTTGGAATAGGTAATGCAACTGTTAAGGAAAAGAAAATGTTAACATGAAGAAATTCGCCAAGAGAGGTTATAGGCATTAAGTAATAAAAATTTAAAATGTACTAACAACTTTTTGTCTAATGCTGGAATCAAACAAGATGGTATCAAATTGTAGTAGTTCTTTCCTCGTTTGTATGGGTAAGTTGATCCCCAGCTCCATTGGATGAATAACTGAAAAAGTAATGTATACATTGTAAAAAAGAGAAAATAAGAAATGCAGTAGATTTTGAAAGTATAATACCTCCAAGTGAATTTGGAATAATTGCTGGATTATTCCCATCAAGTCGTACATTTCCAACTAGGAACTTCTTCACAGCTTCTTCAACAGCTTTACTTACTGTAGCTGCTATTGAAGCCTGAAAGGTGGCCTGATTTCTCTCCATGTTTTCCACTTTGCATTTCATTTCCCGCAATTCGTGTGCCATCTTTGTCAGAATCTGGGTGTGCGCACCTTCCTCGTCATTATTCTTTTCTGTAAAAGTTAAAAGTTGTATGGATTTATGTTCAATTTCTATTTGGGTGTAGTGATGTTTGATGTTATAGTGTCTGTAATAGTTATTGCAGGTTAAGATTTTTGCTGTCATTTATTCATTGTATTCTTTGAATACAGTGGATGTATACCTGGTTGTCCAGGACCTTCATTTGCAAACTGTGGTGGAGGTCCAAGCAAATCCATGTACGAAATTTCATTACTTTCATCTGTAATTTGTAAATGACAACTTTAATTAATTTTCAGATACATGTACAAGTAATAAACAAAAGAGGAATGGAAAATGGCATACCTTGTAATTCTTGTGATGCTGCAGAATCTTGGAAATCAGAGTTGTTTTTGTCATCTGACAGAATTGTGAAGCTTCTGAGCACCACTTCTTCAAATGCTTCATCATTTGATGAGTTGCATACTCCAGTGAAAGTAACGTTGCTATTGTTAGATACTGTAATGGACGAAACAAAATTTCAACATAGAATCACATAAAGTAGGAACGTTAATATTTACAAGTCCTTGACAAGGCTGTTGGTGTTAGACAAGCTGGTGAAGTGTCACCTTGCCCAACAATGGTGTGCTCCTGCACAAAGCTGGAGCATGGATTGGTGTTATACAAGGAGTGCACTGCAGCTTCACTTCTTTTTGGTGTCGATGTTTTGAACACCTTGTTAGAGGGACCAGCTGCAGCTGCTTGCGAGATAATGCAATAGAATTTTCATACATGTCATACACTTCAATCAGAGATAATTAAATAAATTCAAAGTACTACCTTCCATTGAAGGTAAATGCATGTGAGATGGTCCAGCTTCACACAATTTTTTGACGCTGCTTATTCCTGCTGATGAATCATCATCCCTTATTGCTGGTGAAGGGCTCCTTCCTTGGCTGGCAAATTTCCTGGGTTTCTGGTAATTCCTTTTTTTTGGCCTTTCGTTTTCACTGCAATCTGCTATGCCCACAGAGTAGTATCCATCCCTCATGTGTTGTTTCATGTTTGAAACAAGACGGTCGGGGTGAAAAGCTGTCATATGAAGAGAAAGTGTTCATTTGTATGTTGTTAACTGTTTAAGTACCATAAGTACAAGCCTACTCACAAAGATTTCCTCCACACCAAATGTTGCCTATGAGGTATTCCTCCATTTCCTCCGGATCGATAATCTGATAATCTGTGTAGAATTTCTCTGCAAAAATTCGGCGATTTTTGGATGCGGGCGGCTTGTCCCCATCACTTTCTTTGGGTTTGGGGAACATGACCCGCTTCCCGTCACTGCTAACCCAATTGATTGGTACAATGCCTACATTAAGTTGAAGAAAAATTCCATGATTAAGAAATGTGTAACTTTAGTTGCTTTTAACCTTTAGAACTCACATTGGGTCCCAAATACTGCATTTCTATTCCTCTCTGCATCATTCCATAATTTTTTCAAATTTTCCTCAGTGGTGGCATTCTCAAGGTACTTTTTATGTTCTTCACCACCATCAAGGATTGTCACTGCTAAAAAAATTGGCATAGCTTCTTCATACGCAGGTTCTCGGCTGTTGTATGTAACTTTTCCATCCTCATCCATATCAGAAGCAACAATGCCACTGTACTTAGACTTCTTTGGATCCCAGGTCCAAGACCATGTGTGTATCAAATTCTAAAAGTACGAATCAGACACACAATACATGTACAATTGTACTTCTATAAATTATTTGGAGAATAGAAATAATATTATTTCTAGATACGATTAGAAATAGTAACTGTAGAAAATGTTAAAATAAAACATGGTAAACTAACCCTTTCATGGATCAGGTCATACACCACTGTATTTCCTTCATGGTGACGGGGTGGAAGAAGGTGTGAGAAGGTATCTGTTGGAAGAACCTGTATGAGGCCTTCATTTTTGCGCTTGTTCCACCGCATCTTATTCCACACCTTCCACACCTGAGACCGTCGTTTGTCATTTATGTCGAGAGTGATAAGCCAAGGTTGTAGTCTCCCATGTTCATCAATTGGGTGTTGTGGTTTCTGATTACCAGTACTTGCAATAGCACTAGTACTCACTGTATTAGTGTCACGCAAAATTATTAAATCTTTCTCCAATGACACTGAACACCCTTTCAGAGGGTGCAATTCTGGGACCATTTCAACAGGAGGGGGGATTTCATTGCTAATATTTTTTGGTTCCATTTTTCCCGTTTTAAATCCACAAGGTTGGAAAATCAAAATGGAACTTCACAATATAAAAAAATTCCCTGAAATCAGAAGACACAGAAAAATTAATTAATAGCGGGTTCATGACAGTGACATTATTAGCATGAATGTACACAACAGAGGATAACATAGAAACATGTATGCATAAGCCTCAACAGAATGTGTACACATACACACACTTTGGAATGTTGCAAATGAAACGTTCACAAGAATATAAATGGATTTACACACTTCTGTATACTTCCTACAGTTGGTATACTGCATTCAAATCAAAGTCTCTCCCCGTATTCCTAGTCCAAATCCATGAATATGCACATTTTTAAGCATACGTGTTAAATTTTAGGATCACATTTATTAACAAAACACAGCATAATTAACATTTGTGTATGAACAAAGTAAGTTTGTAAAACAAAGAGTATTTACTACCTCATAATGTAGTACATGATTAATTAAAATGTCTGTGGGGGGCAAGTATGTTTCAGACGTATGATGGTCCAAAACTGATTGGTATCATTGGTTAATGGATCACAATTTAAATCAATGTTCATATGAAAAGGGAAAAATTTCCCAACAACATCACTTAATGGCACTTCCTCAACATTCGCATCAACATTCCTCACTTCATAACAACCAACACGATCAAAACCAGGGTATGGAGTATCCCTTGAAAACCACTTGTGCTGAGCTGGTTTAACAGTCTTGAATTTTTTCACCTTCAAGAACAGCTCCTCATTCTTCAAATTCCTGCCAAAATCCGTTACAATTGCAGCATAAAAATGCTTCAATGTGTTTGCTTTTCCCAACTTGCGAAGAACAATGATGTTGTCAGGATACCTGGTTGGACATATGATAAACGTTAATGTACATGCATTATGGAATGTGTATTTGTTATACTAATAACAATGTTAAACTCACGTGCAAGTGATCCGGAAGCCAATACATTGAATGCTCATCTTCTTGCCCTCTGACCTAACATGCAACACTGTACTTTCTGGTAAATACAGTGTTCCCAATTCTTTCATTGCCTTCAACTCAGTAGCAGCATTAACTTTAACAGGATTTGGATTACCATTAAAATCTGTTGGAATGCTATGGGCAGCCACTTCACATAGTCTGTTAAAGCACTGCTTCAAGACACTTTTACCACTCCTAATGAGAGTTTTATCTCGGAAAATCCTCAAAAAGTTTTCAAATGGATATGCATCAAAGCCACCTAGATGAGATGAATATACTGATACTTCTGTGGCAAGATGAATTAATAAGTGGTTCTTGGGTGTTAGCAAATTGTCACAATCCTCCATTTTCAATGCCTCAAAATAATGTCTCAACAATTCATCAGCTAAGCGAATGTCATTATTTGAAGGGCTTTCATGCCTAGTGTGCCCGATTAAGTGCATAGCATAAACCAAAGACATAAATGCATGCACCATGTCATCTTCAACAAAGGAATTTCTAATTCTTTCAACTCCAAAGAGTGCAATCGTATGATACACTAGGCATTCATAGGCCTCTCGCATTTTCCAATACTCCATTTTTTCTAGACTCCTAACACAACGATTCATTTCCACTACAGTACTTGAAGACCAAGCCACAAAGTGCTTGTCAATTGTATTCAAGTACTCCTTCGATGGCTTCAAAGATCTCCCCACATTTTTATGCATCTTGAGAACGTATTGCAATCCAAGGCTCACAGCACCTCCCCCAATTATGTGCATTGCATCAAGTGCAAATCCAAACACCTGTTCAAGTATTATACATTATTTATTGCATGACAGAACTTGTGCCAACTGGCTAACTTATGTATTCACTCGAAATGACTCACCATAGACACAATAGGTGTACTGTTGAATGGAGAAGGATGTCGTCTATGGGGTTTGTTAAATTTCGTCCCTTCTGGAATAACGTCATACTGTCCCCATTTTTCATTTGTACGTAGAGGCGCATTTATGTTTTTGAATCTGACACAGCCTTCACTGAAAACTCCGTAATCTTCGCATCTTTCACAAGAGTTGAAGCCACTTGTTCCAAGTCCTACATGTTTAATAGCACAACAAGTTTTGTGAAAACACTCATTTTCAAAAACAACGTGACATTTAACATTTACCTTTCAAGTAAGCTCGTTCTGGTGCATCAGCAATAATGCACCGAACACGCACAGCAAATGGGCGTATGTTGCCATTAATTTCTCTGTTGCATGACGGATGAAGGTGTTTACCTTCTTCCAAAAGGCATTTCATGAAAGAAAAGACATCAGGTTTTCCATCCCCGTGATAAATTCCTACTATCATTGGCTTGGATAGTGCAAGAGGTACAATCAGTCTAGGTTGTACCTCCCTTGTAGTTCCAAAACCATACACTCGCATCAGAATTGCCTTAACCTACAGTACATGATGAATATGAATGTTTCATGTAATACACAAAAACTGTAATGAAGTTAACATGCATACCTGACTTGTGGTCGAATTGTTGAAAATTTGGACACCGTCAATGTGGATATCAACCCAAATGCAAGTTTCTTCAGTTTCAAGTTGAATTTGGGGTTGGACGCCCAACTTCAAAACTTCTTCCCTAATTTGTTTAGGTAATGCTGTGATGAATGTTGTGGTGAATATAGTACTATCCATTCCATGTATTAAACATAGGAGGTGAGTGTGCTTGTCACGCTCGATAAGGCCTGTTATATAAAAAAAGTAATTATAATCACAATATCTTTCATTATATAATGTATGTCTTTTACACACCTGGTGATAAGCCCATGATTCCCTTTGCAACACCAAGATGAAGGTACCACTTCCCATTTGTTGTTTCACTTTGCAATAGTGACACAGGAGAAAGTTCAGAGGTGGATACATCAAAAATCGAAGGTACTCCAAAAGTAAGGGGATCCACCTGATTTTTTTCAAAAGGTAATGATGATTTGAATATTTGTTATTTTTGGACTTTATTTCTAAATACTGTAAATAATTGTATTTACCTTCATCAAGGTCAGAGGTGACAATGGCAATTCCCTCCAATCTGTAAGTGGACAGAACTCTTGCATTGTCCTCACTAACTCAGTGTATGCCGCATGCGAGAAGCATTGCCCAATCATTATGAAGTGCCTCATGAGTTGAACAAAAGTGTACATAACCACACTTGGGGAGAAGTCTGGCGGTTTTTCAGTCACATGTACTCCTTGATTTTCAACAATGTCATCTTCCTCTATATCTTCTTCCTTGTGATAATAATTGTGGTCTTCAACTACAGCATTCGCACCCTCACAGAGTGCAACCTCATCTGTACTGCACACAACTACTTCTTCCACATGACCATTATGTAGGAATATGGTTGAATGATCAAGGTTTCGGGCAACAATGGCCATAAGGTCCAGTTTTTCCAGCAAGTAAGAACTCACATGCCGGTGTAATTTTTGTGCTACAATTTTTTCCAATTTCCCGCACTTAATTATGTCTAGGATTCGCCTTTGAACAATTTTTTTCCACCTCTGTAAAGTCGTCTTATTCAGATCATTTGCTGCACTTCCACGTATTTGTTGCCGAAATGCTTTAACAAAACCGCGGTAGTCATCAAGACATAAAATGTCAAAGTTCACCATCGTATGTTGAGTATACGCATATGTATATAATAACCTGAAACATGTTAGAACACACGACAGGATGAATATAATTTGTAAGATATTACCGAAACATTTCATACATAAGAAAGTCATTCGCAATGAACAGATGACAGAGTGATCATTCCAAACCATCATACACTATAACATGTATATGTTTACATTGAAGTAAATTGAACGACACCTTATTATTGGTAGTGCCACTCCGATGATTTTTCCTGCTGTTCTCCTCGACCATAATCCGTCGCTCATCTCCACGAAATGCTGTTATCCTCTCAAAGACGCGCCGTTCAAAACTCGTAGTTCACCAATCATGACGAGTACACGCGCCGTACACAACTCGCTGTTCACCACTTACGACGAGTATACGCGCCGTTCACAACTCCACTTACGACGAGTATACGCGCCGTTCACAACTCGCTGTTAATGCGCCATAATTGTAGCGCGATTTGAAGGACGCGCCGTTCACAAGTTAAAACTCAATGTTCGTTAACGCGCCGTACTTGTAGCGCGATTTAAAGGACGCGCCGTTCACAAGTTAAAACTCAATGTTCGTTAACGCGCCGTACTTGTAGCGCGATTTAAAGGACGCGCCGTTCACAAGTTAAAACTACATGTTCAAACACACTCGGCGTATTCGTGAGTCGCGTGTGAATCCTAAAAATTCCTGTAAAGAGTAGATGGGATATGCATTTCAATTTGAACTTGTATACCTTACACATGATTGTAAGGAATGCTTTCAGAAATGATCATAATGTACATTCATTTTATAAGTAATTCCCAACGATATGAAAACGATTGAAAATATCCGAAAAAAAAATGTCCGAAAAAAAAATGCACCACGACATTCACACATATAAAAACAATTTCAGCTCAGTGACTCGGTAAAAAAAAATTATGTAAATATTTAAAAAAAATGCAAAACGGTGTTTAATAACTTTTGGGAAGTTAATCATCCTCCGATGAAGAATCTGTTAACTTTTTTTGAGCCATATCTGAAAAAGACTCCTGGACATGTCCGCCAAATAGATTTGGCCAAATATCGTGACGTTTGTAGTAAACATCATTCAGCCACACTCTGAAGCTCTGAAATTCTTCGGAAACACAATCCATTTCTTGCATGTAATGCCCAATGATTGTCCTCATCTGTTTCTCGTAGCACGTCTTTATCTGAAAAAAGCCAGAAATGTATGTATTATTATTTTCTATGCAATTCCCTTAAGATTCTGCCCACTAACCCATTTCTTGAACGTCACAATGCCAACGTTTGGTTTCGTTGAAAATGAGGAGGCATCTTTCTTGATGATGTCTTTCATCACGTCATTCAATTTTTCATCTCGTAAACTTGTTAGCTTCCGGACCTCGTCGGTTAGTATTGAGCGCATCAAACCAGGAACAAACGGTGACCCTGTGAATCATATTTTAAATTTCAATTACGATGCAGCCCACTTTTTAATTACATACATGAGCATGTAAAACAGAAAATTTATACTAACTTTTGCCATCTGGTGATAGTGAAAACATGCAGTCAAAACGGAAGTTTACGAATGGACTTTCTTGTAATTCTTCGTTTTGAACATCCTCGTCATCACTGGAACCAGCAGATGTACTTCTATTCTTCTTGGCAGTTGAGGTGCCTGAATACGTGCCGTACTTTAAAATCGCACCGCATGAATCAGCTGGAAAAAGTGATCTTGCGAGGATGTTGTAGAAAATGCCCTTCCCAATAATTTCATTAGGGGCCTGTAACATAGTTTAAGTACATGTGTATTACATCAAAACAGAGTATGATTTTTTTTTTTATGCACATACCATCTTTTTCTTTTCCTCAGGTGTTTCAGCTATCGTTGCAAGAGTACGGCGGGCAAGGTTCTCGCAGTATTTTCTCATCCGTTGGATAAGACAGTAAAGGTCATCCAGTCGAATGAAGAGTCCAACATCAGTTCCGTCTTGAGTAGGCGCACAAGCAAGCATGACGCATGGAGTTAATTCCATTTCCTAAAAAAATTATGACTTCAGTATATTGCTATACAAATTGTAAGTAGCGCGTAAATTGCGAATATACAATGCGCTATTCTTGCTTTGACGCGCTAATAATATTTCACATATACCCTGCGCTGTTCTTAATTTCAACGCGCTTATAACATTTCACACTTATACTGCGCTGTTCTTACTTACAACACGCGCTGAATACATTAACAGCGCGTCAAGCACAACACCAGCTACATACTTGTCTAACATTCACAGAAACTTTATTTCAAAAGTTTGTAGTAAAGTATTACTCACCTCACCAATTGCTATGGAAACCTTTTCTTCCTCACTGATGTCCTCCACCCACAGGCTTCCTTGGTACGTGTACTTTGGGAACTGCAACTCTGTAGACTTGAATGCCCCAGGAACGCACCTCATAGGGATAATCCAGGATGATAGGCGGGCTTTATTGTGTTCTAAGCGCAGCCATGAGGTGCAGCCAACATCAAACATGCATGATGACGTTTTCGTCCTCCACTCATTGTTTACTCCTGAAGAAGGTGTATAATTTAATTAATGGTTTAATACAAGAAAGTGGAATGAAGAGTATGTACAAATTTATTTTGTATACAAACCATTAAAGTCTGGAGCTTTCCCCTTCATGAAATCATGAAGTTTGTAGTGTCCTTTCAAAGCCCACTCCATGAACCGTGCAAATTGGACAACTGATGCAGGAGACTTCCTTAACTTGCATTGAGGTGGTGGACTTGTAAAATTCCCTACGAAGTTATTAAATAAATACATATTACAACAGTGAAATGTGTAACTCAACACAAGGAAACAATGTTGTAAAAAAAAAATGGTTTCAAAATGTTCAACATTTACCTTCATCATCAAGTTCTGCAAACCTGCCATACAGGCTTGCAACAGGGCCAAGTGTCTTCTTATCATGCTTCGGTGTTTTCTTGGGAGGACACTTGTTTTTTCGGACGTATTTCCTTTTTTTGACTGTTGCATTTGTACTTTTCTGTAATGTAAGCAAAATTTGTAAATAAAATCAATTATAAATAATGCTAATTTTTATTTAGTACCTGTTGTCGAGAAAGTTTATCAATGCCGCTACTTGATGCTTCCTTTAATGAATCAAGTGAAGATGCAGAGGTACATGCAATACTGTTGGCTTCTTTCTGTACATGAGGACCACGACCCTTATTGAAAAAGAATAACAGCACATTTTAATACAGATTAATTAGTTACTTACATGAAAAGTAATTTCTCACCTTCATGGATGCCCTTATTCTTTTCTTCGCTTTCTTTGCAACGTCATACAATGCATCATCTTGAATTCCCATAAGCTGCATTTCTTCAACGTTATGTATTACCTCCAATACCTTCTCGCATTTCTTACAATTATCCCCTTCACTGCTTGAATTTGTGAAGCATGCATGCAGCAGCTGCTTCAGCATGTTGACGTTGCAATAATCCAATCTGTTTGTGTAACAGAATTCAACGAGTTCCTTCCCTGCACTGCATCCCTTACACTTATCCTCATCAGCAATTGGGAGTTTCGTTTGAATACCTGAACAAGAAAGACATGTATAAGTTCTAATACAAACTTGTAAGTTATATTACATACTTGTAATTATAAAGTGAACGTAGGAAGACGAAAATGTAAAAAAAACAAGGAATCATTTAGAAATATAACATTACTGTCGGTATGTAAACATTACTGTTCATACTGGAAATATATATATAAAAGTAATGCTTTTACCTATGTGTTGTCTTGCATGTGAACCTTCTACAATTGCTTGATCTTCCACTCCATCTTCAATCAATGCTTGTAGTGCATTTGAACCTTCCAAACTTGGTTGCTCTTCCACTCCATCTTCATGGTCTGGAACTTCCGTATCTACTTTTTTTAAATAAAAGATAAACATTACACATTGCAACCTTGTGTTAATAAAAATATACATACATTCTAATTCTTCTGTACCTCCGTCAGGCTGAGGCAATTCCAGGGGTGGGGTCACATCAGCAACCTCAGGAACATAAGGTGCAACTTCTGTATCTATAAAACGTTTGATAGAAAATGTTAACATTACAGCATATGTTAACCTTGTGTTATTACAAGTATACGTACATTCCAATTTTTCCGATACTGCCTCAAATTGAGGAGCTTCCAAGGGTGGGGTGGAATGAGCAACATCATGCATTCCAATTTCCGTATGTTCTTCACCTGAACAAGAATAAGTAATAAGTAATTTACGTTCTTTTTTTTATTGTGTGAGTTCAAGTACACATACATCCCAAGCTTTCCACTGCTGTGTTGTTTGTTGGTTGTTGCTCTACAGGAATGGAATCAGGAGGTACTGAATGGACTGCAGGAGGTCCTCTATCATCACCGTATCCCATTACAGTTTCACATTCCGTTTCATGTTCTTCCTTGTAAAACACTCTGCATAACTCCACCAATTCTGTAATTTTAACATACATAACATAATGATAAGGATGATAAAAACATTAATCATTTTGTAGAAATGTGAAACAAATTGAAACTCACTGTTTTTCCTCATGCATGAAAGAATTAGAGTCTTCAATACGTCAATGAAGCTATCTAGTTCTTTCGGCCTTAACTTGTTTGACGTAATTAATGCGTACGCCTTGTCCGCCTTCTGCAAGTCTCTTTGAATTAGGCGGTACACCGCCTCAGATTCCATATTTTGCACTTTTGGTGAGTGCATGATCGTTGAACGATACGCTGCCAAGAGAGCTCCAATTGTGTTCGCATTGTATGTTGTTTCATTAATTTCCGCTGCTGTCACATTGCGGCACAAGTGAATATTACTCATTTTACGCACGTTTCACCAAAAATACTCAACAAGCCTGAAAAGGATTAAAAAATGAATTACCATTAATGTAAGTACATCACTATACTTAAAACAATTACCATAAATAACATTACACACAACAAATACATTCCCTGCTTAAAGAATTACGCGCGTCACTAATAGGAAGAAGAAATGCAGCATATAACACAAAGAACACATTCCTGTATAGAATGCATGGGACACAAACAGCGCGTTGTCGTAGCCCTTACTTGCCGCGCTCACGGAAACGGCGCAGGGTGAGAGTAAACAGCGCGTGTATACACAATGCATAGGACACAAACAGCGCGTTGTCGTAGCCCTTACTTGCCGCGCTCACGGAAACGGCGCAGGGTGAGAGTAAACAGCGCGCGTATACATTCAATTACAAGGATACATTCAATTACGGAGAACGGTGCCTCGCAATCATGAAAGGGCGCCGCTTGCGCTTTGAATATGTGAACGACGCGAAGAGGGATCCTATACCTATGATGAGAAATTACTGCGTACTGTTATATTCGTTCATCTTGATGCAAAGAATTGTTGAAAGGTGTTATAAAATTACTTATCAAAACTACAGGCTGAAGACGTCTTGAAATTGTTGCAACTTTCACTTTTTTTGGTATTAATTTGTTAGTAGTAGTAGTAGTAGTAGTAGTAGTAGAAAACATGCTGTATTGGCGGGCCAGATGAAAAGGCTCTGCGGGAGAGATGTTGCCCGCGGGCATTAAATTGGGCACCCCTGACATTGATAGTGTCATTGGTATGTGAAACAGCATTAAAATTGTGTACTCACCTCAGCCCTGCTTTACAGTTCACGATGCGCCGTTCCCATACACAAATTGCTTATGGTGTTCACCATGCGCAGTTCCTCGTAACGCGCTTTACACAACGCGCCATTCACTTTGTCCTGCCGGGTATCCACTTTTTTGGCGCGTTGTTCACATATTCAAAGCGCACCTCTCCACTTATATGACGCGCCATTCACAATCGATGTTCACATCCACATATTCTCAGAACGCGATTTCAGCAACGCGCCGTTTTAGTCACGTTGCGTAGCTGTAAAAAATAAACGCGATTGCGTATTAACGCGATTTTCACACCGCACCTTCAACAAGTTCCTTTGTTGGAATTCCTGAAATTAATGAAAGTACACATAACATATAATATACATTCAGTGCTTCTCATACTATTAAAAATGAAGATGATACACGGATGATTTACAAATGCTTCAAAATTATTTTATTCAACATAGGTCGCATTTGTACATTCATGAAGCTGTCATAAAATTATAACATCATTATCAAATTCAGTACCTTTTACTTTTAAACCATCAGCCCTCGCACTTTCACTTTGACGATTTTCCAACAACATTTCAATTTGAACACTTATGTAGTCTTCATTTTTATTTATACTTGCAAGAATTGAATCTTCTCCTCCAACTTCCTCCTCTTGATTCTCCTTTTCCCCTGAAAGTTTCCTTTTCTTACTTCTTTTTGCTAATTTCAGGGATTCCACTTCTTCTGCCACAAGATGCATTTGACTTTCTTCCTCGGCTGTCAATTTCTCCTTATGAACCCTGCACACAACAAGAAACTAATAAGTATACCTTCAGTCAATACGCTGCCTTATGTAGACATACTCAGGGTTGGCTAGTTTTCTTGCCAGTTTTTGAAGATACTTGATCCTTTTTTTCAAAGCCATGAATGCCTCTTCTTCTTTCTTGTTTCCTCTTGTCCTCATTTGCATTTCCTCAGGTGTTGAAGGACTTTAAGTTTAAAGGAGGAATGATTATTTAAAAGTGTATCATGCATCTAAAAATAAATGACTTACATTTTAGTTTCCATTAGTTCTGAAAGGGTTGGAGGATGTACAATTTCTTTGAGTTTAAAAAGTTGTAAATCCTTCCTACCCTTTGGGAAATGCATAAGTTTCCCTTTTAACCATTTCTTGTACACAGGCAACATGTACCTGCGCACAAAGGGTTCCATGGGAAATGTAACCTTAGCAGCAGATCTGAAAAAAAAAATTAGGAAACATACAAGTGACGAGTTCTTGCAAAAAAGTAGTATTCTAAGCTTACTCGCAATTACAGAAGGTGACCCTCAGCCCGTAAGCTGCCCAAAACTTGAGGGCGCAATTGAGGGACACATTGACATTGAATCCAACATTGAACCCCCCATGGTAGCCTTTAGGAAAAGTCACTATCATGTCCCCGGGTTCTTGAATTGCAACAGTTATCTTTATGTCGTGGAATTTAAACCACTTCTCATCAAACAGGAAATGTTTGTGGCGACCAACATCCTTGCAGGTGCCCTCGCCAAGTTGGATGGCAAGGTGCTTCTCAAAGAGAGCCACATCCTCAGCATTCAAACTATACCTGGAAATAGTGCCAGAAGTATATTATTTTTAACTTAATGTACAACCACAAGAAATAATTTCCTATACAACCTGAATTATTCCTAAATGAAGATTTAATGTAATTCTATTAAAAATCCTTTTATTTTGGAAGATGAAATGTGTAACTTACCAGTACTTCTTGCGGCCTGCTACTTGCAGGTTGACAGATATTAGATTCATATCCTCACAGTGCATTGGGAATGCACTGTGACGCGACCCAAGGAAATAAAAAGGCGTGTTAATACCATTTAGAACAAGTGGGGTCTTTAGGTCCATAAGCAACGCCATTATTTCGTTCCCTTTAAGGTCCGTCAAGTCCAAATTGTATGAACCCTGTAATGAAATAAGGGAATGAAAGTATGATAATTGCTCAATTTCTTAAAATAGGATGCTGCGGTAAGTGATCATGATGTCGACCTTATTTTCAAATGCCTTTCTTAAAACANATAATTGCTCAATTTCTTAAAATAGGATGCTGCGGTAAGTGATCATGATGTCGACCTTATTTTCAAATGCCTTTCTTAAAACACATTCTACATCCTGCAAAACACTGCTTTGAAAACGGCGTACATAAAGTATGGTACGCCGTTTTCAAAGCCTTTCAGAAAACAGCGTGAATCCTTCAAACGGGTGCGCCGTTTTTAAAACAGCTACGCCTACATAATCTAACCCGTTGACTACAGCGTGCGTGAGGTACGCCGTTAAGGTATGCCTCGCGTGACTTATACCTTGGTGAAGTTTGTACAAACATTTTCTACAACAATTTATACAACAATTTCTAAAAACGGTCCGAGAACAGGTTGAGGGCAGGCACAACAGTAAATGATTAAATGTTTACACAATGCCGCCTGCTGCATAATAGAATGAAAAGAGGATACACACAAAATTATACTACAACATGTAGCCAAAGAGGAAAGGCAGGTATAGTGCTGTATAATAATACATACAAAATTCTACATTATGTGTAGTCAAAGAGGCGGTAGTTGTTTAACTAACCTTTTCTGGCTTGTTAGTTGGTGACGGAATTTCCAATTCCGTCACATACGGTTTTATTGGTGTGGATGCTCCGACGTCCAGTTCTCGCAGTCCTTTCCAAAACCGCATGCGGTCCAGCATTCCGAAAGTTTCGTCAAACTCCCCTCTTGTCTCTATCGGCACGTCCTCCTGCTGGGTGCTTATGCTGCAGCTATATTCATCAGCCAACAATTCTCCTGCTGCTGCTGCATGCTGTGCACTCTCTTCTGTCGTTTTCTTGAAGAACTCCTCACAGGTCACACTGAATGGAAGGGGTGTGGGTTCATTCACAACTCCATACACCCCTTCATCATTAACTTTCACTAGCTTCTGCTGTATTACACTTTGAAGCTTCACTTTCGCAACTGATGACCAAGCGGTTTGGTCAAAATGTTTACCGTTTCTCTTAAGGGATTTAATGAGCTCCGGTTTGAAGCGTAGCTTCATTATCCCATTTTGCCATGCACCCCACTCAAAAAAAGCGCGATTCACATATGCATCAAAGGCTTTGAATTCATAGACGCCAATTTCGTATGTGGGGCACAATTGCAAACCACGCGATTGCAAACGTGGAGCACAAAGTGATGATGATGACATTATTGATAGATTTGATGATGACGATAGTGATGATGAAACAGCATCAGTAGCGAAGGTAGCGGACGTTGACATCATATTATTTAAAAAGTTCTTCAACAGTTTAGCAGAGAACTGTAAAAACATGTATGCATTATGTAATAAACATTATTTCAAATAAGATTTTGCATTTCATAGTCAAATAATGTAGACATTTCATGTTACGTACATTACACGCGTAACACGCGCGCATAGTATTTATATAAAAAAATGATCATTGGGAACCAAAAACGCCTACAAAACGCACACTTGCAAACACTGCTGAAAATACAACATCTAACTTGTAAAGTACTGAAGTATTACAATCACTTATTAAGGTAAATAAAGAAGAAACTCGAAGAAATAAAATATTGTGCTTTTGCGTGCGCAAACGCACTCCGAGAGTATATAACGTTCAAACAAACGGCCATGACAGTATAGAGTGAATAACGCTATGACAGTGCTGTGGTACGTGCGATTACTTAAACATCAAGGAATACTTTGAAAAGTGATGTAACACTGTTTGCTAAGAGGAAATAACGCTTGCATTTGGAATATATTTTTACGTGAAGCAGTACGTGCATGAAGAAAATACACGGTATGCATATTACACCAGTCGCATCATGAAATAACGTCCTCTACACTCACGTTTTGGTAACACATTCAACACTCTTGTGTAAAAACATGTGTAAATGCCACTGCAACAAATCTTGGGAAAAACGGTTTTTACAACAAATGCATCCCAGCTTCTAACATTTAGATTGATGTGGTG